AGTGAGTATTTCATCATCTCTTGATGCTGACAAACAGGGTTTACATCTTGAAGGAGACATGATCAAGGATGGCGGTAAGGTATTCAAAGTGTGTAACGCTCAAATTCTACAATGATCTCCTATATATAGTGACAGCTTAGACTATATGACCCCAACATTTTATCAGGAAATCAAGAGCCCTATTTGAATTTTCTCAAAAAAGGAAACTAAAATAAGCTTGTATTTCCAATTTAACTATCTCAAATTTTCTCAGAAATTAATATTAAAAGAAAATGTACCAGATGTCAGTTGAACTACTATCAACTGCTGCCTGCACTATCTCATTGCTTAGGCTCTGGAACTGTTTCTTACAAAACTCTTCTGCTATTCTGAAACAGAAACAATGTATACATAATTTTCTTTACCACTAATCAGGATTTTTTTCTGGTGGTATGCAATAGTACTCAGCTCAACTGTAATAGACAATTTGTGGTGAATAACAACATCTTTTAAAGACACCTTGTGGTGTGTACCTGTGCCCTTTTTGCAGGTAAAAAAAAAAACCTGAAGAAAATCAATAGTAAAATGTGTTTTTTTATTCATGGCGCTACTGTAACAGACATTCTGTGTGAGTACCTGCAAGTTTTTGCAGGTAAAAAAGCCCTGAAACTAATAAATAGTGAAATTCTTTTGTTCAATTCATGGCACTACTGTAAAAGACATTCTGTGGTGAGTACCTGCACCTTTTTTAGACACTGTTGAGTCTGGTAGTCTTAGTTTCAGCTTCATAGCAAACGGGTCACCCCATCTTTGCTCCGCTCCTGTGCCAACGAAAAACACACAGAATGTTTATCACAGTATTAGAATTGCAGTTCATCATTGATGGTAGCAGAAGTCCCCAACAGATCAGCAGTTGCCCATGCGATCAATTTTAATCACATACGGGCACCACAACACTGCACAACAGGCATCGCACCATTTTCTGAATCTACAATTCACACCAACATGTTGGTCACAGTCGAAAAAAACATTCCGAATGCAATCCACAGCTTACAGGGTCACGCCATGCATTCAACTCAGAAGCTGGGCGACGAAACTATATCCAGTCTACAAATGGAGCAAAAATGCACCGGCCACCGTCCAGCAGAAGCAAAAAAATTTCCCTGTTTGGAACAGTGCCGCTGCCTAACGTCCATTTTGGCCAGAAGAGTACACTGTTGAGTATCAGTACTTTTTGCTAACAAAAAAAAAAGCACTTATGCTGATGTATAATCAAATTTATAACACACAATCAATTTTAAAAACACATTAAGCAAAACTTTTTTTTCTGCAAAGTAATGATTACAATATTATAATGTCAAATCAACTCAAAGCAAAACTTATTGTTTTAGGCAGATTTCTCTTTTGATTACCTAAATTTTTCATCATCACTGTTGTCCTGTTGCCATTATGTCACACTGGGCTCACAGTCTATTCCTCCATTCCATTCTATCCTGTGCAATCAATTCAATATAATGGATGGAATCCAGTCCAGCACCTTTGGCCTCTCTCACCAACGTTCATTTTGAAGTTTCTTTTGGGGTATCCTTGCTTTCTCAAACCCTTTATTTCCCCTTTTAGTGCCTGTTTGGTGATTCTCTGCTCGTTTCTTATCAGGATGTGTCCAGCATATTGCCATCTTTTTTATCTAACAACTGTTGTTGCCAGTGGTTGTGTAGACTGTTATCTCATCACCCTACTTGAATTCATCCCAATTTATGTTCAACATTTTCCTCAGGCATTTATTTTTTAAATATTTTTTTTAATTTGTATGTCAACCCTATATAAAATTGCTTACAAGAAATGTCCTGAGAAATAAAGGCAGATGGCTTGATGCTGATCACATCACCCTTCAAGGTCCATTCTTCTTCTGCATTTTAACTTCTAATGGCATATATGCACTCAACAAACTCATGCCAGTTCAATGATTGGTTTAAAGCTGAAGTTTTCTATGAGATTAATTAGCAAGGCTTCTGCCAACCCTCATTAGTCACTTGTTAAAAAATGCACAGTAGGTTATACTGTTACTATTATTGGCTTCTCATACCACTTAGAGTGTTGAGGAGGATATGATTTTGCTTCATGATCCTCTTGCTAACTCAACCATCTACACATTGTGCTATTTTAAAGTTTAGCTGATGTCATTTTTCAATGTTGTTCTTGGTCTACCTCAAGCTCTTCGACCATCTCCTCTTTTGGTGTATGCATTGTATGGTATGGCATCTCAAGACATTGTCTCTTCATGGACAAACCATTTGATTTGCTGTCTATGATGTAATATAGAACTGGTTTTGTGCCAACTTTTTCCCTTGTGACCTCACTGCTGATTTGATCTCCTCTGGTCACCCCTGTAGCCCTTTTCAGACACCTCTTTCATGGTTACAAAGTTTCTTTTTCTGAATTAATGTGAGTTACCATGTCTGGCAATGGTAGCATAGGGTTGGAATGAATATGCTTCTTTGTGCTAGCTAAAATGTTGAATGTTGAATTAAGAATCGACATCACAGCACTCAGGACACTCCCATAAGTGCTCAATCCCCATCTTCAGCAGCAGGCGGAGAGTTACAATTTAAGATAGTACCAGTAACCGTCTGATCGTATATCCGTCTCATCCTTCCCCTGAGTGTTGAGTGTCGGCCAGATCCCCTGGTAATTCCTCGCAGCGCCATTCTCCTTAGACTGTAATGATCTATCTGCGCCTCCTCACTGTTCACTCGCTCCCAAAGGGCTCTCACAATATCTAACTTGTCATACATTAATCCACCAAGAAGAGGTGCAGAGCCAGCCAGTCTATCTGCCTGCTCATTTCCCAACACACCGGCATAACATGTGCTAACTGGGATTGTCTTGTGTTGTGAAAGCTACTAAACATAAATTATTAGTTTCAAATATAATAAGTAAATAACAGAAATGCACAGATAAAAATGTCCCACTCACAGGCAATCTTCAGACATGTGGTAATAACGGATTATTGCTTGTGGTAGAATTTAAACAACACTAGATTACCTCCTGAGCTGCATTAACACACCAGTTGTACATCCTTTCTGAGTCACCTCAATTTTAACACCTGAAACACAATTTACATTTTTGACAACTATAAAATAGATATGATTATCAGTAAAATACACATTTCTAAATGTGGTGAAGTGGTTAAGCCATTTGCCTCACACTCTGAAGATAGTGAGTTTGTTTCACGGCTACATCGCTTGGTTCATAAGTGCAATGTGGTTACGGAGCATGAGGGTTCAAAGCAAAGGTGTATGGATGTCGCTTAGTGCAACAAAGCTTGGCTTATGATTTTACAACGTCTAGTTTGTTAATGGAGGTGGAGGCAGTCATTGCAGCTTTCCGCCAGATTGAGAATCAGCTGTACACACATCGTAATTGTAACTGACTCACAGAGTATGTTGAGAAAAGTGGAGACAGGCATGCTGTGTGCAGAATGGGAAGCATCGCTTCAGACCTCCCGGGTAATTAGCGTCTTTGGATATTTTCTCCAGGTATTGCCGGTGTATTGGGAAACGAGCAGGCAGATAGACTGGCCAGTTCTGCACCACTTGGTGGGGAATTGATGTATGAACAAGCTAGACGTTGTCAGGGCCCTTTAGAAGCAAATGAACAGTGAGAAGGCACAAACAGATCATTATGGTTTGAAAAGAATGTCACTGCAGGGATCTGGCTAATGCTCAGCATTCAAGGGAAAAGTGAGTCAGGTGTACAATCAGACAGTTACTGGCAGTATCAGAACTAGAACTGTTCGCTTGCTACTGAAGATGGGGACCGAGCTTTTATGAGAGTGTCCCTAGTACTATGATGTTGAATCTTGATTAAACATTTAACATTTTTGTTTACGGAGCTTTGGTGCTTTGTGCAATGCTCTCGGCAGGCAATTAGGTGGTCTGTGGAGAGACTTAGCCAGTAGGGATAAAACCTGATGCAACTGAGTTGATCCTCTCACCCAAATGTCTCCATTCCAGCAAAATAACAAATGATTAAAAGCATCTTTATCCCTACTTTATGTTATCAGTGCCAAACATGGACAATGAATAGGTCACTAGAACAGAAAATAACTACATGTGAAATGTGCTGTCTCCGCAGGGTCACTAACAACACTATATGAGACAGGGTTACAAATACAAGCATTAGAGAGAAAGTTAGAATGAAATCGTTCAGCCGTCTAGCGAGATTGCAGCCAGACCAAACGGCATATGAGACTTTTTACAGCAGAACGTCTGGGAGGAAGGCGAAAGGAAAACCAAGAAAAATATGGATAAATGGTGTAGCAGAAACCTGAAAAAAGATTAACAAATCCATGATCCAAGCCACCCAAGAAGCGCAAGACAAATACAGAAAACCGCGACAGTCAGCTACAACCTAGTCTCAGTGAAACAACAAAAGAAGAAAAGAAGAAGAACGTGTTTCAGTTACTGAAAACATGACAAGTAGTAGAATAAATCCATAAATTTCTGTCCACCAGTGGTTGTCTTCTTTCACTGATTATTAGTTTGTGTGCGCTGGTGCTGTTTTTTTTTTTTTTTTTTTTTTTTTTAAATTAGCGAACAGTCATCTAAGTTATACCATATTTTTTATATTTTTAAAATGTTTCAATATATTTACATTCTTTTTTTTATTCAAACGTTAGGCCAGCCAAGTAGCTAGAACACTGGGAACTTGTGTACAAGACAAAAGTTTGCATTCTTGGTAAGTTTTATGGAGACTTCCTGTTCAGGGCAAAAATAAACAGCCTAATCCTGTATGTAGTTTTTGACAACGTTATTAGTCCACAAGCTTTATCTACCTGCCCAAAAAGAGTGGTAAATACAGACTGTGAACATCAGATTTTAATACTGAAATGTTTAATCTATTTCTTTCTTCTCTGCATTCACCGGATGCAAATTCTGATGTAAAGTCCTGGTTTTTTTTTTTTTTTTTGTCTATTTGGGCTCTTGCTTTGTACTAGGACCTTGGTTTTGCATGTACATCATTTTTACTAGCTTTTTTTGTGTGTGCAGTTCTTGTTCCCTGATTCTCAGGCATTTGATAAATAAATTCTACTTATTTGACCAGTAAACAGTTTTCTAGATTTGGTCATGAAACTAAAAGGGAACATTGCAAAGTGAACAACTACCACCTGAAAAAAATTCCAACAATCTATTGCTGTTGTAGTGTCTAATAATAAACAAACATTTTACTAAAAAAAAACTTCTGTGCTATTTTGAAGGTTGGCTATAGAGTACCCCTGCTCTCTTTATAAATGTTACATGGTGAGACAACAATGTGTACAACTCATGTACTACTGTCCAAGAATTATGAGAACATTTTTATTTTTACAATCCAACACAAAAAATCCAACCCTAGTATTCAAGGATCATAACATTTTTAACCATATTCCCTAGCCTCTAAGCCTAAGGTTTTAAACTACAGGATCTCAACATCTATCAAAATTGTACTAGGCAAAAAAAAAAGTGACATCCTTTCTAAAGATCCTTCAACATACCAGCAAATGAGATAGCACACTTGCAAAAAATTGAACAAAGGAGAAACAACACACTCATTCATTGTCATTACCAGAAATCAGAACACTTATCAAGGGAAAATACAAGGTATTGTGGAGAGAACAAACTAACAGTAAACATCCACAAGACCCTATCAGCAGACTCAACAGAAAGCAACATAGTTTTCTGTCTACAAACAGAACATTGTAGGCTCAACTACCACATGCATAAAAAAAAGGTTGTACAGTCCCCACAGTGTGCCTATCAAACAGGACCACAAACACCTGAGCACATTCTGCAGACCTGCCCACTCTACCTACAACTTTGAAAAAAACACCTGGCCTCAAGATCAAAGTGTGCAGAGCAAGCTATGGGCAACCATGAAGGACCTGCTGCTGACATGCATGTTCATAGAGGCAACCCACCTGATGGTCTGATCTGAGCATAAGAAACTGAACACAAAGACGAAGAAGAAATTACAAGATCTGAAATGATCAATAAATGGACTGCAGAAGCAAGGATGTCCAAGAGATATTTCCATGATGAATTTTGAGACAGGCTACAGTGAAAGACTAGTTGTGATATATATCAGAAAAAAACGGACAAGCTGAAACAATAGGTGCAAGCCCTATGTGATGTTTTATGGCCCAACAGGACAATGAATTATGTGCGTGCATGTATGCATATGGGTGTGTACATGCATGCATGTGTGCGCATAAGCATGCAGGTATAAAGTGTGTAATAGTTCCATAAATCTTCTTCTTCTTCTTCGCATTCACGTGCTGTCCAATGCAAAAAGTCAAATCCTAGTATATGATGATCACTACATTTCCTAGCCTCTAAGCCTCAGAACCACATCTTGTATAGTACAGTCTCTCAAATAGGAAGCAAACAGATGAAGAAGCAAGGATGTCCAAGAAATATTTGCATTTTGAATTTTGATAAGAGGCCACATGTGAAATACTAGTTCTGAGACACAATACAGAAAAAACATTTACATGTTGAAACAGAATAGGGTAAGCGATTGCGAGAATTATATAAATGTATGCATGTGTCTGCATGCATCTGTAAATATGTACATGTGTATGTGCATTTGTATGTATGTACATGTGTATGTGCATTTGTATGTATGTACATGTGTATGTGCATTTGTATGTATGTACATGTGTATGTGCATTTGTATGTATGTATGTATGTATGTATGTATGTATGTATGTATGTATGTATGTATGTATGTATGTATGTATGTATGTATGTATGTATGTATGTATGTATGTATGTATGTATGTATGTATGTATGTATGTATGTATGTATGTATGTGTGTATGTATGTGTGTATGTATGTGTGTTTGTGTGTGTCTGTTTGAATGCATAAATATAAAACGTGTGACTACCAAATTAACAGACTGGTTACATAGAAAGAAAGTTTCAAATATAAAATACACTGATACCTTCTACATCAAGGTATGACCTCTGATTTAAGGACAAGTGTATGACAACAGGTTCCCCATAAATCAAGCCCCATGCATCAGCAATGTGTTTCTGAAATGAACAGCAATCCATATACCAAGTATTTACATGTAAACTACATACTGGGGAGCCACATTGAGGTAGCGGCTAGAAACTGATGGCCAAAGGTTATAGGTTCAAATTTGCATGAAGTCTTTATTTTTTTATTTTTATTTCAAACATTTCCTTGGAGGTCTGCGTGATGCTGACCACATCTCTCACTGAGTGTCTATTGGTCTGTGAAAATATGCGTCTAGCATTCTATATCCGATGCACCACTTGCATAAGAAGAGTCCTTTAACTGGGTTTTTTTCTTTCTTTTTTTTTGTTGTTACTTTTACTAAATTCTGACAACTGGAGTAGTCTGTTATTTATCATTACATCTGTAACAGTATTGGTGTGTGTGGTAACATATGAATGGTGAAATATGTTTGAATGAGGGCTGTGGTAGCATAGCTGTGAGCCCGAAGGTTTTGGAATAAAACCCACATTGGATCTATTTTTTTCTTTTTTTAAGTTGACCTGCTCTGCCAAACTGGCCTGGCTTTAAACAAATACCAGGTTGTTTCCTGGGAAATATGAATGTGGTCGGCATCATGTAGACCACATCACTCGTAAAGTGTCGATTCGTCTAAAAAACACGAGTTTAACATCTTGTACCTGATGCAACACTGGTGTAAAAAGGTACTTTACTATATTTTTTTAAAATTTAAAAATAAAACTGAAGATAAAGAAGTCTGGCAATCTCTCTGGTAAACCTCTACACCCCAAGCTAGAAGAGGATCCACTAAATAAGTAAGCAAGTAATTTTATTGGTCAGTGGGCAAGTGACTTAGCCACGACACTATTTATATATGGTGATGGTGAAATGTTTATGTTACCTAAACATGAAATCTTATGTGACATCCTATATATATATATATATATATATATATATATATATATATATATATATATATATATATATATATATATATATATATATATATATATATATATATATATATATATTGTTCAGCGTATCTTTTTATCTTTTTACTGTGGCTTCCGTAAACTAAAACAAAAGACAGTACACAGATTAGTATCACACTTACTTCTAGCATTGTTGTTGGGAATGAGATATCCAGATCCATCTCATTGAGGCAATCCAAGCACCTGGGAGGGAACATTAAATGTGAAATGGTTACCTAGTTCATTATAACAACTCTGCCCAGTTCAAATTTTTTATATATATATATTTTTTTTTCATAACAAAAATCATAAAATATTGCGTATGTGTGTATTTTCCCGGGTATATCATGGACAGGCCTTGTAAAAAACAAGTACTTGAGAGAGCAGATATGACCACAGTACATCCTCTCCTCAAACAGAGACATCTTCAGTGACTGTGCCATTTATCTCGAATGCAGGATGGACATATCAAAGATCTTTACACAGAACTAAACAAAGGGAAAAGGCCAACTCAAAGACACCACATGCAATATAAGGGTGCCTTTAAAAGGGGTTTGAAAACCCTTGCATAGATACAGGAAGATGAGAGAGTTGCTGCAGATGGATATTCCTGGAAAAGAGATGGGAAAAACAGACGTTCTTTGAGAAAAATCTGATCCACCAAAATAAAGACATGAAGCACAAGCATAAAATCCAGTCACTTGCTAAGGGACCTGTCTCATCTTACACATGTGGAAATTATGACTATCACTCTTGCAATGGACCAAATAGTCACTACTGGCATTGTCAGGTTCTTCCTAGTGGCACAACTCTACAGTTACATGAGGCTGATGAGCCTATCTCTCTCACTCTCTCTACCTACCTACCTACCTGTCTGTCTACCTACCTATCTATACATTTATATATATGGTCTCACAAAAATCACCATCATATCGGGTGTGAGATTTGTCATATGTTCAAGGGGTGTCATGTTTTGGTTATTTTTAACACTATATTCCATGTTGCGAGTGGCAAGCTTGTTGTATTTTCCATGTCTTCAGCGGCCGACAGTGTGTGTGTTACGTGCATTGGCCATTCCCACTTTTCGCTCCAGGCTCTGCCCCAGAATGTCACCAATTCTTAAACTTGTGACAGTTGCACAAGAGACCCAGTTGACAAAGAAAAGTAACTAGTTGAATACACACAACAAACGGTCACTTCATGTCGCCTGCCACAAAAGAGAGCTGCACACTTTCCTGTTGGGCCTCGTACGAACAGGAGCCACTTTTCCACATGGTGGGTATATATGGCAAAGGATTGCATATCCTAACATTCCTACAACATAGAACAGCCCACAGGAACTGCCATGGCATGAATGGGAGCCGGCATGAAATCTTGCGCCTGACGTAATGGGGTGATTTTCGTAATATGAACCAACACATAAATACACACACATATAGAATGTGGCAAAAACATGTCTACACAGTAATCGCCCAGCAGTGAAATGCATACACATTTTCATAAAGGCTATTTGTGTTGAAAAACATCATTACATGACACATTCCGTCATATTTACACTGAATTGCAGTAGCTATGTGTCGAACTATAGTTAGGAAAAGTGTCTGGAGGCTAATGGGAATCACTTTGAGCAACTGTCTCAACTTCCTACATCCCATGTAACTTGTATGCATCTCTTCCTGCCTGAATAAATTTAGTATCGTTACTACCATAATGTATTCAAAGACCACATATTTCAGACATTTAGATATTTCACTGCTGGGCCATTACTCTGTGTACATTTTTTTGGGCTAAAACTGTGTGTGTTCCATCTCCAGTAATAATTCTTGATATAAAACCATATATATAAATATATATAAATATACTATCCCATTTATTTTGGAGGTCATATACTCTTTGTACTAAACATTATTACTCCTGCTTCTTTTTCTTTTTCTCTCTCTCTGTCGCGTGTGTGTATGTGTTGTTCACAACCATAAAGGATATACAAGGGGACTTCAAATAAAAACCTTTAGAAGTGACACAAATCACAATAACCAAGTCATTGTCAGGTAACCTTTCCATATTGTTGTTAAGGATGTCAAGAATGTTAAGCATGTGACATCACGGTACAGACGAACACAAGTGATGTCATAATGACAGTTTTAAGACAATTGTCTCACTTCTGACGTCAACTAAATAAGAGCAGCATTCTGTTATCCTTTTTTTATGATCAGTGAAGAAGTGAAAACTGGCTCCGGTGGTAATGAACCCAGGCTTCATCTCCACTAACAGTTCTTGATATGAAAACCTCACCTTCATTTTCAAAGCACAGATTTTAACCTAAGACCTTTTAGGCCAGCATGCAAGCATCTAGCGACTGTCTTACAGCAGGTTAGTATTATTTCAAAAAATTCACACGACATACTTCCCCAGAAAGCTCATTTCTTCTTCTTCTTCTTTGTTCACCGGCTGTAAGCTCCAGCGGAAAGTCCTGGTTGTTTGTCCATTTGGACTTTGGCTTTGTGCCAGGGTCTTCGTTTTGCATGTATATCCATTTTACTAGCTTATTTGTATGAAGTTGGTTGTTCCTTGCCACTCGGGCAGATGCACTCCAACTTCGAAGGAAGTCCCCAATTAGTCGACTCCTATGACATGCTTGTTGGGGAGCAGTGGGTCTATTCATTTTTTACTTAGGATGAGGCCTCGGACCCCACAAGAAAGCTAGTTTAATCGTCAACAGCTGGAAATTTCAGAAGTCATACCTGTAGTTACAATTACTTTGTGGGAAGGTTTTCTTCAGCAGATGGATGTCATTCATCAGTACAGGATTGACAGTGTAGGAAGTACCAACCATATCATCTGAGTCCTGAAATAATGTCAGTCTTAAACAGCTCAAAAGATCATGGATAAAATAGTAAAACTTCTTAGCATATGAAGTGAGTTTGTTGTTTCCTCTTCTTCTTATACATTTTTTTAAGATACTGTTCTTTTTTACCATGACAGAATCACTAATGTAGAGCTCTGGGAGACAACTAAACAATTTCCAGTAGGCCAAGAGGTGGAAAAAAAAAAAGATGTGTGATGGATAGGACAGATCTATAGCAGATCTATAAGTGCACTGATGTTTTTTAACTCAGTAGCATCACAAGCATAAAATGGTTGTCTTATTTGGTTTGCTGCTTGCCCAGGGTATTCTTTGCATTTTCTTCAGAAACCATCATAAGACCAACATGAAATATCAACAAGCTGGCATTTATGTGTATCCTTGGGCAGGAGATTTTACAATTACAAAAAAAAAAGCATACAGATAAAGAAAAGTGTCATTTCTAAAAGGTAATCCTTTAATAGAAATCATGTGAATTTAACTTAACTCTTTCTGTCCCAAACAAGACACTATGCATGATTGTGTTTTTTCTTAACAACTAATCAACATTCTATGCATATTTTTCACATCTTCACTTTTTCAGTCCCAACCTGCGCATCATGTGTGATCAGCTATTGCCCTTGTGTCCCAAAAAACACATGCTGTGATCCTATTTTTATGATATAGATTTGACCCGTTATTTTAAATTTCAACATAGTATGTTTTATCTTCTAAGTTATATGCTGCCTTCGTGCATGTTTGCTAATGGTTAAGTACTCACAAAGCAACTCTAATGGGACTAAAAGAGTTGAGTTTGGTGAAGAACCATTCGTAACTCCCTCGACATTAGCTAGGACTGTGTGGGACTGAAACAGCTCTTCACATGTACCAGGGTGCTGAATATTGATATGAGGTGGTCAGTTCTTTTCCACTGTGCCACTGAAAAATCAAGCAGAAGAAAACACCTGACACCCATTTTACAAGGCCACCCTGGTCCAGACACCCAGGTCGACCCAGCCTTGAGTGGGTAATGAGTGCAGTCCCAGGAAGTAAAGGCGGCCAGCATGATGCTGACTACTTCACTTATCTTGTTTTGATTGGTCTATAAAAATATAGGTGTAGCCCTATATGCCTATAGGCGTGAATAAAGTTCCTTTACTTTTACCCTGGCCCAGAGGACACTATAAATGGTTTCAAAGTACACAATTAGGACAGACAAAAAGCAGAGAATAATTTCATGATAGCATTCGAAAAATGCCCATGATGGATTAAAGCATAAAACTGCCACACCCTTTGACATGGCACCTGATGATTTTGGTAGCAATCATGTCATACTGGACACAATTAGGAGAAATTTTAAAACAACCCCTAAACAGAAATAAACCAAGCAAATGTTAAGAAGACCAGGCAGAATTAAAAGTAGAAACTAAACAGACTGGAATATAGCATGGGTGTGGTTTAGAAACGAAACTAGGAGTACAATTTAGGGCAAAAACCTGCTGAACTCTGTGATTTATGTTATGTAGATAATTATAAACTATAATTAATAATAATTTATGATAATTTATATCTCATTAAGTGAAATGAGATACATTGTCATTATAAATGTCAAAATTCCTTTGCAGAAGGATGCTTTCATGACCGTCATGACGTCCCCAGACAAGACTCCTGGTCCATTTCATATACCCCTACCAAATATTTTCATGCCTAAATTTACCCATTTGTATTGTTTACTTCTTTCCTCTAGTCACTACCGCGGAATTGCCTTTCCTTCTAAGAAACAAGACTTCCATTGTTCTTTGAAACAGCTGCGCCGTCCGTATAACAGGGCCAAAGTATTTTAAGTTTCCCGGATAGGGCTAAAAAAAATAATCAAAAATACACTTACGCAATTAAGTAGATAGGCGTCGCCAGATTCCGCTGAGTCGTATTCCGATTCATTGTCACATTCAGATTCTCTGTCAGATCCCGATATTCTACTGTCACATTCAGGTGGACTGCCTGGCGATTCTGCAAAACTCATGGCTATAGTTTTCCTGCGTTGACGTGGTTTCTGTGAAATTTACACACAACGTGGGGTCAATTACTTCAGATTTAGTTACACAAATAAGTTCATGCTTTTTAAATTGTAATTATAATTATACAGGTAACGTGTTCTGTTTTTCTGGGTTATAACTGAGATGTTTTAAATTAATATTTATTAGTATTACTACTAGTACTACCGCTTTTAAGACTTATTTTGATTATTATTATCGTGTGGCATTACTTCCGTGTGTCGTAAAGTTTACTAAAACCTGAACTAAAAGTACTGGAAAGGCCTTAGGCATTCAACCATGATGTCCATCGCATCAGACAGTCAATAGGTTAGGGAGCTTATCAGATAATCATCAGCAACTGGTGACCCAACGACAGCTGTGTTACTAGATTGTGATAAAACTAAAAGTTTGTTGATACAATACTGTTGAATGTAACTGTTAACTAGAATACGATTTTACTTTCTAATTATTCTTTCTGCTCGGCTCAGATGGGAATTTAAAAAATATATAAACGTTTCTTTTCTCTCCCCCACGTCAAACACCTGTGTGTTTACCAGTGTTGCCACTTTTCTGTGACAAAAAACATCCGAAACGGAGTCAGAAAATATTTAAAAACAATTAAATTTGCGTGGAAAACATCTAGAAAAAACATCCAAATAGAAAGAGTCACAAATTACATAGCAATTGATATGACAATCCTATAGAATCATGTCCTCATCTTTACTGAAGTCTGCCTTACAAGATCCACAGGATAAACTTAGATTGGATGATGAAGTTGAAGCTTCAGATCCAAAATAACTCTGGTATGGTTTAGCTGTTTCAATTTCTTTTAATACCCAGTCAGGGAGCTGATAAGTGGAACAGCCTTTTCCTGCTCTAATAAGGCAACATTTTATTGTCAAGACAGCATTTAAGAGGTCAAATTTCATCCTGTTTCTTAGGTTAGTTTTGATAAATTCACTCCAAATGAAAAACATCTAGAAAACATCTACCATCTAAACGTCAAAAACGCCATCTAAATACTTTCTGTTACTTGATTAATCTAAATGCAATGAAAAACTGCTAAATCTGGATGTAAAACATCCAAAGTGGCAACACTGGTGTTTACGAGGAAGGCTAGCACGCGAAACTCTCTCTCTCTCTCTCTCTCTCTCTCTCTCTCGTTGTACCCCACCAAAACGTTAACCGAAAACATAATTAAACCTGTTTTCAAACTTTCATGTGGTTTACAGTACTAAAATTAAAAACATATCTTCATGTCCCAGAAATGACAGTTTTGCTGGTATCAAACTTACACAGAATACACTTGATTTTAATATATGCGCTAACTACTGCTACTAGGATAGTCAAATAAGCACTTAATAAATATGTGTACTTTTGTTAAAACCGGCCGGTATAAACAGTTTGGTGCATCACGACTTCCTGGTTTCAAAAGACTGAAAATGAAACAACTGACTGCTGATACTTTAGTGTGTGTGTTGGCTGTATACATGGGTGAACGATGCTCGCTTGGACACGGGTTTTCCTGGAATCTTTTCTTTGGGACTTAAACGCTGAATGGAACAAACATCGTGTAAATGGCCCATTCTTTGTCAGTGGCACATTTGGCTAATGATGCTAGACTCATTTTTATAGACCAACAGGTACTCGATTGTATATGTAGTCAACATTACTCCGGTCGCCTTTACTTCCTGTGAAATTTCTTGATACCTATTTTAGGCTGCTAGCCAAAGGCATTTTATTTTTCAGATCTGGATTCGAACCCAGGACCTTCAGACCGGCAGGCTAGATACAGACTGAGTATGTACAGTGGTAAAAAAAAACGAACGAAAAGTATATTAGCAAGCTTCACAAAATAACAAATACAAACAAAACGTAAAACGTTGCAGCTATAGAGCCTTTATCAGCACATAAACAAATCAAACAATATCACACAAATACATGAAATAATAATGGGCGAGTGGGACAGGTACAAACAGTAGCAGTTCTGGGCGGGCGGGACACATGAGGTAGGTGAAATTAATGAACTGCTGTGAAACAGTGGTACTGGAAGGAGGATGCAGCGGAGGGGATGTACAGGCAGCACTGTGTGTCATCACTGAGGGAGTGACAAAACGGCGCCTGACACGATGTTTTCCCCAACGGGTACCACCTGATCTTGCTACGCCACTGGGTACGTAGAACCGTCTTACATTCAGCTTTTTTCAAACGCTCACCTTTCACACAGAAATCGTATTTTATTGATGATGAATCATTATCATCAATGCATCATCGTTTGCCGACTGGAGAAAGCGATCACCCTCCCCCAACATTTGCCATCTCCAGCACCAAATATCAGCTGGTATGCTAACACCCTTCTATGCATTTGTAACAGAGTCCCTACCTAAATTGCGTCTCATTATGGAGCAGTTGAAACAACAGGCCCTATCATGTCCTTCACCCTTGTTTTTGGAACCTTTTTACTAAGCTTAGTGACCGAGTAAAAGTACATGGTGTCCTTGGTTCCCACGAGACTTCCAGCAGTTTGTCTAGACATCACGTGACTCTCACTCCTAGCAAAATGTTGTCAACATTTTTGAAATACCTTTACTAGTCTTGTTTATTACAAACGCAATAGAGCTAGCGAAACATGTTACTGGAAGCTTTTGGAAGCAGGCTATTGGCACCTATATAAGCGACTGCCCGGACCCCATAACAGGTTTCGCTTTAATCATACAGCCCATTTCGTCCTTTTTAGGACGAAATTTTTTGTTATTTGAAGCCCCACCATGGCTTTTGCCGCAATATAGGCAGGCCATAAATATGGCCAATTGTCTGAACGCGGTTTCTGGGACATCTCCACGGCAATCCTCATCCACATGGTGGCACTTTGCGTCATCGGGTGTTTATCGCTTGTGTGATGTCCTAGTGGGGTAGAAAGTCAGTCAGCCCCATAACAGGAGAGGAGGATGGGCCAGCATAACAAGAAAGAAGTCAGGCTTAACTGGTGTAGCAGTAGTGGGCAGGCTAATCAGAAATTATAGTTTAAATAATTAAATAAAGACATTTTCTTTGATCATCTAAAATTAATGTACTCCCTGAAGATCTATGTCAGGAGGCGTGGACCCCTACATGATGTGACCATTGTGATAACATATGGGGACGGAAATGAGCGCTTACACAGGTTGCGAGGAGTGCAATTTACCATTTTTTCCACCGAGCCAGATTCGGGAGTAGACACTGAGTCGGGGTCTGATGAGGAAGAAGGAGAGGCCGAAGCACAACAATAAAATAAAACACCACAAAGGCCAGGTTTCACTGAGATTCTCTGTTGTATTTAAAGAATGAAAACTCTCTAGACCAACCCGCACTAGGAGCCCGGTGGCAGTTGAGACACTAGAACCAGTTAACATAGTAATTAGAGATGAAGAACACAACGCGAACCTACTAGTATTCAGCCGTAGAGAGCACACAGCGCTATTCTGAATGTCATTGTTGTATTCGTGACATTGTTGTAGTACCACAATAAAGACAGTGTAGACAAGAATTGTTGTCACCAGCCATTTTATTATACAAGCAAGAGTCACCTGAGAAGTATGCAGCAAGCAAGACATTATCATCATCACCACCACTATCGACACGACTATCTTTCTCCTCGTCTATAATCTTCAAATCGACTCCTCCTGTAGCAAACCTAAACACGAACCTGGGTGTGACATCAACGTACGCCACAAAGAAGAGAGCTGTGCTACACATTGACAAGAGACTGTCGAGAATCTCTTCGCGCTCTCTTCCTTGATCTCTTTCTGAAGCAATGTCTCCCTAATGCGACTTGTTGCTGAGACGTGGCATGTCACGGTTCCACCCTTACTCTCTTCTTCACCCACCTCCTTGTTTAATTCCACGCCAGAGTCTTTTTCTTCTTCTACTGAGGCTGTTGCAATATTACCTCCAAATGTACATCCCGCAGAGGGAACACTTCCTTTCCACTCTCATCTCTGATGACAACTATCATATCAAACAAGCCATCATGCCACCTGACGTACAACCAAAGCTGAATCATAAGGCTGTCAAAAATAGTGACATCTCTTTATTTAGTCTTTGACGTTGAAAATGGTAACTTCCCCAAAAAATATTCAAAGGCTACTAATGTTAAAACAATACAGCTAGTGAAAAGCTCAGAAGAAAACGATCCCAAATAAACCTTCTGTCACCCTGCTTTCATCTTCCCACTGGATTTCTAAAATTACTCTATAGAGTATTTTCAGACCTCCTGCCTCTGACTAAGTCTAAGCTTGCCCAATCTCTACATGTCTCCCTTTATTCTACCCACGTCTATCTGTGTTCCTCTGTGTCTGGCCAATTCCCAATTCCAATTCGTCCAACAAAAATTCCAAATTGGATCCTTTTTCAGCCGCTCGGAGGCCTGCTATATGAAGGAAGGTTCCTTTGCTGTTTTATTTGATTGCCTTTTATTTGTGGTTTGTAGTCACACCTGATATTCCGGTTCTTTGCTTCCTTGCTGTGCTGTGGTGCTTGTGGTCTTTGGCTCTGATGTGGTCCAGATCTCTTTGTGATGATATCTACGGGTTTTAGCTGACTGTTGCTGGTGCTTAGTTTGCCTCATGCTGATCGCTGTGCTGGTGCCCTGTTGCTGCTTGGTTGCCGTTCTGTAAAGCCGCCGGGAAAAGCCAAACAAACACCGGGTCACAACGTCTCAAACAATGCTCCTTTTCAGGACAACCAGGACCGTCACAATCTGTTGTTGTGATCAGCCCGTTTTTTTTTAATTTTTCATTTCATGGAGTGTGGAGAAGTAGTGGAAGTAAGATAGTCTGGAGAACCAGGCGTTCGCTTTATATAGCGCTATCTCCAGATTGTTCTAGAAAATACGACGAATGTCGGGAATACTGGCGACTGCGCATCAAAAATACAATAACCTAATAAACCTTTGAAAATTTTTACCAACAAGATATTTACCATTACGATAAGGTTGGGTCACATGATA